GGGGAAGGGGAAGGGGAAGGGAAAGGGAAAGGGAAAGGGAAAGGGAAAGGGAAATAAAGACTAATTCAAACATTAGCAAAAAGTATATGTCAACAATCTAGTGCTGCAAATGAGATATTGATTTATCCTTCCACTTTTGTATAATAGTGTATAATTTTAGCATCTCCTATATATTAAAATTCACAATTCTGGATGCTTTGACACATTTCAGATACCTGGGATATATAAGTTGACCATTGCCTATATTCTATAATTAAATTCTTGTGATTTTCACCCTCAATTAATGCAAACCGAGACCACGTGAGTTAACGTTTGAACTCCTCAAATGCTTATCTTACAGGAAGGGAAAAAATACTGGAATTTATTGTGTTTTTATTATTCTATAATCTGTCCTGAGAATCTTCTAAACTGAAGAGCAGGATTACATGTGTATCATCTAACCTTCTGGCTTTCCATTTATAGCCAGTTTTAAAAATAACTATCAAAGGCTTTTTTTTTGTTAGTTTGTTTTGGAAACCCTTTATTTATGTAGAATGTACTATTCTTGTGCTACTTCTATCAATCATTGTAGTTTTTTCTCTACCAATTTCATAGACTTCTCTAGCAAACCCCTGATTATCTAGGCATTACCCTTTCAACATTTTCATCAGACATATTTTGATATCTTTGTTTCTCAGGCTATAAATGATGGGATTCATTAGCGGTGGCAAAACTGTATATAAAATGGCAGCCATCATGTCCATAGGTAGAGATGACCAGGCTTTTGGTCTCAAGTAAGAAAATGAGGCAGTGATAACAAACAATGAAAAAACAGTCAAGTGTGGAGTGCAAGTGGAGAAGACCTTATACCTGGCCTGAATGGACTGAATCTTGAACACAGCAGAGAAAATATAAGCATAGGAAACAAAAACAAAGAAGAAGCAAAATGAACCTACAAAGACAGCAATGGCAAGAAGAAGCCCTTGATTTACTGTTGTGTCAGTACAGGACAGCACCAATAACTGTGGAATATCACAGAAAAAGTGTTCAATCACATTTGAGGAGCAAAAATACAATCTCCATGTATTGATGATCTGCACTATGCCATTGATTGCACTGCAAGCCCAAGAAGCAGCTGCCATCTGAAAACAGGCTCTCCAGTTCATGATGAGTGAGTATTGCAAAGGGTAGCAAATTGCTATGTAGCGGTCATATGCCATGACGGTGAGAATAGACAGTTCAGTACCTGTAAATGTAAGAACCCAGAAAGCCTGGGTGATACATTCAGGAAATGAAATCTGTCTGTTGTTTAACAAAGAGTCAATAATGGATTTGGGAACAATGGTGGAAATATAACTAGCATCTAGGAAGGATAAATTGACCAGAAAGAAATACATGGGGCTATGAAGCTTTTGGTGCTGGGCAACAGTTACAATGAGGAGAATGTTCCCTGTCAGGGTTACAAGGTAAATGAAAAGGAATGCTATGAAGTACAAAGGTTGTAGTTCTGGGAAATCAGAAAATCCAAGAAGTAAGAATTCTGTTACAGTTGTTTGATTTATCATTTCTTTTCTTGAAAAGAAACTCTGAAAGGAAGGAACAAAATGTTTCATTAGGAGATATATATATATCTTCTCAATTTACAACCAGTTTCACAATTCTTAAACTTAGATAAGAAGGCTATTAATGTTTTATTCAGAAATAGTACTAAGGATAACTAAAAATTTTAACAGTATTAACTTAAAAAAAACCATGCATTTCAAAACAGAGTATTTCAGTCTGAAATCAAACATCCTTGCAATTTTTAATCCAACCTGAATTACATATACAAGATCCATTCCAACATTTTTCTGCAATTGTTTTTATTTGAACATGATTGAATATTATTTTTTCTGTAATACAAATCTAATTAATTCTGGTTATTTATTCTGTCTAAAGGCAGTCTGTACCACCCCAACTCATGTGTGTGTGCATGTCTGTGTGTGTGTATATGTATAACTTTTTTCTTTTCTTTTTCATTATTTCAGAATTAATTATTTTATTATCATTATTCTTTTTATTGTATTATCAGAACTAAAAATAGAATGACAAAATAAATACTGATTATACCGATAAAATAATTAAATAATATAGAAATAATTACATATTTTAAATTATAAATAATAATTAAAATACTTTACAAATGTTTTAAAATATATTTTCTAAATATTTGGTACATACCAAATAAAAGATTTGGTACGCTCATACATACGCTCAATAAAAAGATATTTGAACATGGTGAAGCTATTTTTTTTCTTTTGAAGGAGGGGGTCACTAAAGGAAGTGCTAAAATATCTTTAGAAGTAGATTTATTGCATGTCTCATGAGCTGCTCTGTTAAAAAGTAGAAGTATTTGTTTTTATATATCCACATGAAAATACACAGTAATCAAAATTATCAAAAGTTTCAACAATTAAATACCACTCATGTGCACTCAGAAATTTGAAATCTGCAGAATTTACAATATGGATTTAATGAAGAATATTTGTATATGACACTAGCATAATCATTAGGACTTTGTTTTTGACTATGACTTCATTATATTATCAATACAAAAAACAGTGAAGATGACAACTCACCAGTTCTTATCCAACAAATGAGAGCAAAAAAGGTGATTCAGAGAAGAATCACTTTTCTTCTTGTATGCAATTCTCTGTTCTCTAGAGTGTTACACAACTGAGTGCATACCCAGAGGAAACTGTTAAAACAGCTATTTGTGTTCTGTATGAATAACTGAAGACCTATTAACCTAATAGCTAATAGCATACACACCAGCATTATCCAGAGGTTCAGGATGGAATGGAAAGTTTGTAGACATATGTATCAACAGGATCCCCAAATATAAAAAAGAAACATTGGGGCATTTGGAGGCTTGTGGGTCCCCCATTCATCAATTACTTCAATAGAAAGTATACTTTTCCCCCCCCTACTCATGTTCTTGGAATAAAATGCGAAGTACTGCATACCCCTAGACTCTATACTAGGGATATGCAGTAATTCTATTTTTTTCATTAGGTCCAGCTCTTCAGAAAATAGTCTGTTTTTACTGAGATTGAATTACAGATTGCCATCTTTGGCATTGTACACAATTAGACCTGACACTCAAGTCTTCCACTGCACGACCCTGAAAAGCATGAGCGTCTGGAACTCCTTTTTTTAAATTATTTTAGCAGAATAAGGTGAAATTGTCAGAAACATTCCATTGATTGATTGATGCACCCATTCAAAGTGAAAGGACACATTCTGATAAATTCAAATAAATAAATAAATACTAATTCAGATGGTAAAATGTGTAGATACCATGCTGGGACAGAATTTTCTGAGGACCATTGGAACGCCAGGGTGGCAGTTCTTGAGATGGTCTGACTATTTTCCACAAATAAATCTTCTGGAACAGGAAACTCTGGTGATTTTGTTGTGGCCTAATCTCAAAATAAGAGCTGGAAATTTTCAATATTTTCAGTAATGATTCAGACATGGAGGTGAGTAGTAATAGTGTATACTAACTTTAATGGTGGGTTATCTGTTTAATCAGTGACATCATCAAAGTAAACAAACCCCATGTGATGCAGACATCACCATGTCATGACCCTAACTGGGTATAATGTGCATATCCCCTTCCCACCTGATGCTGGAGTCACAAGGTCATGACTCCTACCGGACATGATCCGTTGAACCTAATCTCATCAAGAAAAGGGTGACAGTCAACCCTATAGTGTGTGATTAGCTTAACCCAAAACCTAGCCCTAAACCTATGTGGATTCAGACCAAAACTAAGTTAAGTGAGTAATTAACAGGATCCTAGGCTGCACTGTATTTGGGAAGCAAACCCTATTTTATACATTGTGAAATAAATAATAGCCTAATGATGCTTTTAAGTTTTGTGGAGCTTTAAAAATCAGTGCCTTGAATGCAGGAAAAAAAGTCCCTAAAATGCAGCCACAGCCTGCATTTGACCCCTCCTTTTCGAAAGAAAGAAAGAAAGAAAGAAAGAAAGAAAGAAAGAAAGAAAGAAAGAAAGAAAGAAAGAAAGAAAGAAAGAAAGAAAGCTTTATTTCTATGCCACTTTAAAATCACTCCATTGAGTGCAGGAAAAAAGAATTAAACCACACCAGCTCCAGTGTGATTAACTTAACTCTAACCCCAAGCCTAATCCTATATGAATTCGAATAAGGCCTAAGTGAAATGAAAACCACAGACAGCTTTACCTTTGGTAAAAGTTAAAGAAACATTGTTTGCAAATGTTAATCTGAAAATATACATGTGTATGCACACGTACATGCACACACACAAACCCATGCAAATTTAACTGATAAGATAAATATACACATACACGCAAACATTTTGAAGCATGGCCTTAAAAAATTTTATGCCACCTCCTCCTTCCAGCAAAGCCAGGAAAATTTAATCAGGAACCAAATACTCTCTCACACACAGAGCAACCAACCAAGCAGCAAGTATCCAACAGTGATATTTATTATCCACACATACAGGCATGTCAGAGCTGTGATTCTGAGCATGTACAGTTGAGCCAGCTAGTGAAAAGGAATAGGGCCAGGGGGCGGGGGCAGTATCCGGGCATGTCTGGGCAGATCCTGCAGATGTCCAGACATGTCAGAGTCAGGATTCTGGGCATGTGCACAATTTAGCCATGTGGCAGCTAGTCAAAAGGGGAGATTGGGGTGGGGGAGGTATGTCCATATATGCCTGAGCAGTTGCCCCAGTGAGGTTTACCAGTTTAAACCTCTGCATGTTTTTGAAAATAATTTGGCAGCCTCAGATTCCAAAGAAGTGTTTTCACACCATTAGAGACCCCCACTAACACATGGGGCAACTCAAGACCACTGCTGACAGAATGCAACAAAATCTGTTGTCGTGGTTTTGATTAAGAAAAATGGTTTCTTCTGACCATTTCATCACTTGCCCCCTAAATGGATTACAAGTCTCCCTCAATATCTCCGCATCTTGTCTGCAGGAGTAAGCCAATGCCTTTTTTAGTTTAAACACAGTATAAACTCCCGATTTATATATTTCTTCACAAATTGATCCAAGCACCTAACACTATAACACCCTCACCTTATCACATCCTTATCACCCTCTTCCTCCAGCATGACATGGCATAGACATAATTTAGCATCTGAACCCCTGTTTCTTGACCACATTCAAAATCATAAATGATGCATTTCTGGCTGAGCCAGAGATATGGAAAACATAAATGTCCTTCTAAGCTTTGAACCTTCTCCTAGCATTGCTCACACTTGGTTTTCTGTCATGTTTTGTGGGGGGTGTCAGGCCCAGCCCAAGAACAACAGAGAAACAGTCAAGCCAAGTTCAGTTCTTTTATTGCTTACGCCATATAGACAGAATCTTGCCAAACTAAATACAGTCTGTATTACTCTAAGCTAGAACCTTGGGAGGTTCTAGGGGGTGGTTATCCCACACTCCTGCTCTAAACTATGCTGTGTCTTGTCTCACCACCACCACCACCCCCTCATTCCTGGAATGTGCTCCCTCCTTCCTGAGAACCTGCTGCTCTATTGCCACTCATCACATCACCTCCCCTTTTGTAAATATATTCCATCACCAGGGAACACGCAACATGTGTCCCACCATACCTTATTCTTACAATCAATTTTTCCTTCCTTTGCCAGTTGTGCTTGTCTTTCAAGGCAGGCCTTAGCATGACAAAATTATTTGCACTTACTGCATCTTGTCTTCTCCACATCTACCTCATGACACACATGCTTCAAGCATGCATCTCAGAAGTGTTGACAATCACGGGTAAATTTGTGGTGGTAGACTGTGTGACAGAATTTGCAGAAATAGAGTTCACCCAGGAAGCCTTTGTTGTTTTTGATTCTGTAGTTTGTTCTGTAACAATATAAACAGCAGTTTTTCTTGTTGGGGTCTACCTGTGACAAAAAAATGCCACCATCCTTGCTTATAAAACAAAATCTTTATGGTTATACCTAGATACTTTTCAAGATGTGTACCTGTGAAAAGTAAACCCTGTTTTCTGTGGAAATATCTAGTCTGATGTGGAAATCCCTGGCTCTAGCAATTATTTCATGCTTTGTAAATGACCCGCTGTCTACAAATACAGCTGGTAGGCAGCAAAACAGAAAAATTCTCTCTCCACATTGAAATCAACCAAATGGTGTCTTTTGTTTTCTCTCACCAAGACCCAAATGAATAGCATTGTGCTTATCTGCCTAAGTCCATCCCCCTCTCTATTCTTCATGATGATGACCACTAATGGTAAATCACCACCCCACAACATGTCAACAGTGCTCTGTAGCATGCTTACAACATGGTTCAGGAACTCATCAGCATTTAAATCACCTGCATGTCTCCTGATAGAAAACAGAGGCTAATTTACACCACCTGCATCCATCCTGAGTGGAGCAAAATCTTTTTGTCTTATGTCCCTGGAAACATTATTCAAAAGATTCTGTATCTCATTAGGAATAACATCTGTAGCATGTGTGAATGAATGGACACAACCAAGGTCTACAAATCTATAACACTGATAGTATTCTCTTGTGTTATCATTGTGGATAGATCTCTGTCATGTTTGTATCATCTCCAGATACACACCCAAAGGATTCTATGTGTTTCTTGTGTTTGGGCCCTCTGACTGTTCCATAGAATAGTTTATCTCCTCTGATGGTTGAGATTTTGGCATAGACCATTCTGTACTGGTAAAACTATCTGGGAAGCCTATAGGAAATCCCCCATCATGCATTTTTTTTTTTAATAGGATGTCTCTGGATAAAACAACAGAAAAAATAGAACTTCAGTAACATTCATAATAATGTGATTCCACCCTTAGTTTCTGAATGCTGTTTGCAATTGGATAAAACACTGTAGGTATTTTAAGGCCCTTGTGCTGAATTGGATGTAGAAGGCTGAGAGTCATTCATAACATGTTGAATCCATTGTGAATCTGTGGGCATTGGCAAAGCAGCAAAGATCTGATCATTTACCCAGTCTGAAAAAAAAGAAAAGAGACACAGCAGGATGGGCATTCTACAGGTCCTGTCAGCCAAGGAATGTCAGCTGGTGGGGACCAGGAGGCGGACCTTTTCTTCCCTAGCACCTGCCCTTGGAACATCCTCCCTCCAGAGATTAGGATGGCCCTGACCCTGTTGGCCTTTCATAAGGCCTTGAAGACCCGGTTTCTGCAGAAATCTGGGTATAGGTATATGTATATGTATAAATCAAATTCTCTCTCTCTCTCTCTCTCTCTCTCTCTCTGAATGCCCTAAAGTTCTAGAATTTTATCTGAAACATAATTTTTCAGTCATATAAAAAGGATTTTTTAATACCAACTCCATGAATGATGTTAATTTTTTTCCATACTCAAGGCATAACTGAGATAGGAAGTTTGAGCAGAACCTTAACTCTTTCCTTGCCATCCCTTTCTTTGGGCTCCCCTGATCTCAGAACTCTCATGTATAGTCATCAAACTTTCAGGATCCCCACTCTTGGAGATAAAAATAGGAAGTTAACTGTACTCTGGGGCAGTGAAGAATTATGGAAAAATAGGCACTTTTGAATTAAATGGAGTCTGCTTCTACATAAACTTTATAGAATTGCAACCTTACATGCAATAGGACATCAAAGATGATCTTCAAAACCAACTCTCTACTGTGTGCACCCCTCAATGGCTTTCATTTGTTTTCCACTGTCATTACAGGCAGTGCAAAGACCCATCCTCCCTTTTTAGAACTTGAGGTGAATTAGTGGAGATATTTTCTTCCTGATAAAATGTGCCAAGGCTTCTTTAACTTTCTTGTTTCTCAGGCTATAAATGAATGGGTTCAATAGTGGGGTTATCACTGTATTCAGAACGCTGGCCACTTTGTTGAGGTCCAGTGAGTGGCTTTTTTGTGGCTGAACATAAATGAAAATCGAACTTCCATAAAAGAGAGTCACCACAATTAGATGTGAAGCACACGTTGAAAATGCTTTCTGGCGCCCTTTGGCTGAGGGGATTCGAATGACCGTTGCGATGATAAAAATGTAGGAGATCCCTGTTACCAGTAATGACCCTAAAAGGAGCAAGGCTGAACTGACAAAACTAATTATCTCAATATTTCTTGTATCAGAGCAGGCCAACCTGAGTAGGGGATCAACATCACAAAAGAAATGGTTGATGGCATTAGGTCCACAGAACTGTAGCCGGCCTAGCAAGATGGTTGGTGGGATCACAACAAAGTAGCCCCACATCCAAGAGGCAGCTAAGAGTTTGATGCAAAATGGTGTGTTCATGATAGCTGTATACCTCAGTGGATTGCAAATGGCAATATAACGGTCAAATGACATAACA